GCTGGCCCCGCCCCCGGGGACTATCCAATAGTTGTGTAACTGTTCACATTTGCTGCGGTTACAGACTATTCAATTACATGTTCTCTAACATCACTCGTGAAATTGGGAGTGTGAAGAAGAGCCACTGTTTCAGACCATGGAGTTTCTTGTTTATTCTTTTGTTCTGCCTTTTCCAACAGCCTGAATCATGACATGACATTGACAGAGTTCAAGTTCATCTGGTACATGGAGTATTCACACCGCATGTGGGGCCGGGTTGTAGGTTTGGCCTATATTCTGCCTGCTGTCTACTTTTGGAGAAAAGGCTGGCTTAGCCGCCCAATGAAAGGACGTGTCCTTGCCCTCTGTGGGCTCGTCTGCTTCCAGGTAAGGGAGTTCTGCAGCTGCTGGGATGTGTAGCATTGGTGTTGGGGACTTCTGGGGGAATGCTGATGTGTAGAGGTGATGCCTAACTGTAAGTATTTCTTGAGTGGTGGGTTGAGATTGTGGCATCTGGCTCGTGGCCTGCAGCGGCGCCGTGCCTTCCCCCGCCCCCCCCAGCAGCACTCTGCATGAGGGGGGAGAGGCTGAGGATGACTCACCCCGGATGTGTATTGGGCCCAGGCACCTGAGGATCAGACACAGAGGATAACAACTCCTGGCCCAGAAGGGAGACAAGGCTAGCCGGGGCTGACTCCAGGCTGTGGGTAGGGCCTGTGAGAAGAGTCAGTCTCCTCTGAGCTGGGATGAGAGAGGAGGCTGAGAGCCGGAAAAGGGGGGTGTGGGACCCAGGAGCCCCTTACCCCCAAGAGGAATAAAGCTGCCTGCTCTGGGTGCCTGTGTTAACATCTATCCTGTGCTTCCCTGTGAGCCAATAAACCTTTCTGTTCTACCTGCTGGCTGCAGATGGGGGGTGCAGGGTCGGGGGTCCCCTGACACACCGTGACAGTGGTAGCAGAGGGTGGTTCGATTGCACCCCATGGATGGCACAGCTGGCAGTAAGTGACTGGGGCACAGTAGAAAGAAGGGGACTTGCTAGAGCCAGGTGTGCTGGAGGCAGTGAGAAGCGCAGGAAGCCGAGGGGCAGGCAGCTTAACCCGAGCGTGGTCTCAGAGAAGGAGTGTTTCCCAGGATCTTGGGAAGTTGCCCCAGAAGGCGGAGGACTCTACATCCCCTGGGGGGGAGTGATGCTCCAAGAGGCTGGCACACTGAAGGGTTCTTCCTGGGAATTGTGGGGCACTGCAGCATTGGCCTGTGAGTCTGCACTGCGGGGAACAGCAGGGAGACAGCCTACACCCGACTTCTGAAGGCAGGCGTTGTGGCACTGTGCAAGGAGAGAGGCCTGCCCGTGGGGAAATTGACCAAGGCCCAGCTAGCTGCCCAGCCAGAAGAGGGTGATCGTTCCAGGGGACTGGATCCTGTCCCGGCCAGGAGCAGCCAGACTGCCCCAGGGAGCGTTTCAGGCTCTGAGACAGGAGAAAGGGCAGGAGACCATGGTGCCCACCAGGCTGTGCTTGAACAGCAGTGGTTTGTCCCGGGCAGGGTCCCTCTCGGCAGAGCTGCAACAGCTGGAGGTGGAGCTACAGCTAAAGGAATTGGAGGCACAAGTGAAGGATCACGAGGACCTTAGGGGATAGCGGCAGCATGAGTGGGCCATGGCGGAGCTAAGAGAGAGTGGGACCCCAGCTGCGGTGAGTGGGTAGGAGCCCAGAGGACCTGGGACTGCAAGTCATTTTGAGAGGTTGGTGCTGTCCCAGTGTAAAGACGTGGGGGACCTGGATGGATTCCTTAATTGCTTCAAGCATTGCGTCTGGCCAGGAGGTTGGGCGCAGGAGCAGGCTGAGGGGAGTGGGGTCTGGGTAGGAAGGAGGATGCAGGAGCAAGGGTAGGTATAGAGTTCCTCCAGGAGGGAGGATTCATGAGCAAAGCAGGATGCAATGTCTGGCCGGGGGGAGGTGCAGGAGTGGGCTGGGGATGTGGGGTATCTGTGAGTAGGTGTATGAGGGTGATGGGGAGCTGAGTTGAGGAACGGGGGGGGGGGGCGGGCCTTATTGGTGTTAGGGT